GGCTGAGCTGGGTCTCCCAGGTCAACGTGTTGAAGGTCGAGGTCCCCGGGCACCTCCGCACGTGGCTGGGTCTGGAGCTGGGTCTTTCCGGAGGCAGTGAAGGTAAGGCGAGGGCCTCGTGTGAAGAATGAAGGGAGGCGAGGAGCCACTGCTCTCAGCACCCCGCCCCCATTCCTGGGGGGCCTAGAAATGAATGCCCCCCCAGGGCGCAGTCAGGTAATGAGGAGGAGCCTAACACCTCCCCCTACAGCCCCGGGGCCAGATCCGGAGGGAGCCGGGTGTCCCTGCGGCCAGCTCCCCGGAGCCGCCAGCGGGGCGACGACTTGCCGGCCCGGCCTGACCGCTCAGAGGCGGTGTCTGCCGCCCCCTGCTGGCCGCGCCCCGCCAGTGCGCCCTGGGCGAGCCGGTGGTTCCCGGGGCCTTCTGCCTACCTGGCCAGGTGAGTCGGTTTAGTCAGCACCTCACCGGCCACTCAGGGCCGCCTCCTGTGACGCTGCCATTATCCCACTGGACAGCCCAGGGAGCTGAGGCTCAGAGGTCGGTGACGGCCGGGCCCAGGGACTCTGGGTCCATGTTCTCATGACCAGTTGAGGGGTCACCTTCCCGTGGAGGTCTGGGGGTCTGGGGGGCCTATGCCACTCAGCCTGTCGCTTTTCAGACAAGGAAGCATGCTCAGGGAGGAAGCTGCCAAGGTCACGGCCAGGAGTTAATGTCCCTGCCAGCCTGGCACTTGGCAACCTGCAGCTGTTGGCGCTCTGCCCAGTGGCACCGGGGCCCTTTCTCTTCCGAACCACAGCCTCCACCCCAGCTGCCAAGTCCGCGCCTGTGACGTCACCACCGGCGCTCAGGACGCTCGCCTTCCCACGCTGTTTGCTCCCCGGGCTGGTGTGTGGCCGGGGGCTGCGGGCGCAGCTGGCAGGAGGGTCATCCGGGGGTCAGCTCCCCCCACCCCCCAGTCTGGCCCAGCCGCCTCACTGCTCGCCCAGGGGCCCCAAGGACACCTGCCCAGCTCCCGGCTCTCGGCTCTCGCTGGTGCCGTGCGGAGAGCCCGGGGAGGCCTGGCGGTGGCGGCAGTCCTGTCTGACAAGCCCAGAAGCTGCCTTCGCTTTCAGATGTGAGATCCCCCGCAGGGCCCGCAGGGCCCAGTGCAAACCCCCAGCCGAGCCCCGCTTTCCGGGTGTCCGTCCCAGCCGCTGCAGGAGCTTCTGCCAGCTTTGGCTGCAAATGCTCGTCCCCTCCCATCACTGCCCCGTCCCACCCCCCGCGGGGGGACCCAGGCCCGGCCGCTGTCCGGTGTTCGTGCTCCGCAGGGGTGAAGGCCAGGGCTGTCTGACCCGCCGCCCCCCCAGTTCCCAGCAGGGCCTGGGGCGTGAATGTGCGCGAACAGTTTGGGGCAGGAGGCCGGGGGCCTCGCTGCAGCTCAGGGGCCACCACGCAGTCGCCTGCGGCTCTGTGGCGCCCCCGGGTGCAGAATGGGCGCCTGTCCCTGCCGCTTATTTAAGGGACTTAGATGCTTGGCACTTGGCACAGCGGTTCAGAAAGGAAGGCCCCTGGGACAGGGCCATGCCCAGAGGCTGCACCGGAGAGGGGGCCACGCTCACACTAACGCACCTCGGACTGTGGTGACATCTGTCAAGCCAGCCGCAATGGCGCTCACTCGCCTGCTGTGGACTTGCTCCTGCAGGGCCCCCAGGAGCCGGGGACGGCCTCACGGTGCTGGCCTCACAGCCCGGCCTGCACACGCTTCTCACACTCTGCCTGGATGCCTACCACAGGCCCCCGCACACCGACAGGGACCGGATGCTCAAATCCACAGGACACACTAACCCCAAGCCCCTCCACCACCAGCCCAGGGTGACTCCCACCCCTGCCCCTTATCCCGGCCTCTGCAGCTCTCACCTCCTTAGGAAGCCCTCCCTGCCAGCTCACCCCCCTGGGGGACCCTATAGGCCTTCGCCTGGACCGTTCAGCCAGCCCTGTCTCATGGAGGCAGCCCTTCCTCTCTCCAGGTCGCTAAGCCGGGTAGGTCCCCCTCCACCCAGCCTCAGCGCCCAGGACGGAAGGTGCAGGCCAGGGGCTGAGCGGGTGCCTGGCATGGAGCAGGCCTGCTCTACAACTACCTACAAACCAGTTAATGCAGCTGCTTCATGCGCGTGGGGGGGGGGGGGTACAGGGTGGAGCAGGGGGGGGGGAGTGGCCTGAGATGGCACCCCACCCCCACCCCGAGGGCTCCTCTGAGGACCACTTGGCTGGCTGGTGGTCAGGAGAGAGCCAGCGCCACAGCCCCAGTAAGCCCCGTGCTCAGTAGACCCACACTGTCCAGTACAAATGCAATGCCAGCCACTGAGGGATTTTAAAATATAAAATGTTTTTATTGATTTTTTTTTAGAGAGCTAGGAAAGGAGAGGGAGGGAGGGATAGAAACATCCACGGGAGAACATTGATTGGCTGCCTCCTGCACGCCCCCTACTGGGGATGAAGCCGAAACCCGGGCATGTGTTTGGTGCTTGGGTCGACACCAACCACTGAGCCACACTTTCTAGTTGCTACATTTGAAGTCAAACTATCCAAAATATTATCATTTCAACGTGTAATCAGAATTTATTATGAGCTCTTGGCACTCCAGCGCGTACTTCGCTCTTGGAGCCCATGGAGGTTCCGCTCACCCCTGCCCAAGGCTCAGTGGTGGTCTCCTTGGACGGACGGACCCATGGGGGAGGCCGGCTGGCGTAACCATGGGAAGGTCAGCCGGGTTCTCTGGCACAGCCTCTGCCCATTGTCCTGGCAAGGGTGCGGCCCTACGGGCTGGGTACGGGGACAATAACTCCGTCCTGGAACTTTGGGGGAGGAGCTACAACTTGGCCCTTGGACTCAGCTACGACTCTGCAGCTGGTTCTCGTCCACCTAGGGGGCCTCAGGGAGGGGCGACACGTCCACTGAGGAGTGGACATTGCAGGCAAAGGGAAGGATGGCTCTCATGGCAGCACACCTCCTAGGCACACCACAGTCACCCACACAGTTCCAGGTCATGCCTGTGGTCCCCGTGTATGCATCAACAGCGCCCCCCTCCTGTCCCCCTCAAGCAGGTCAGACGCGCGGCGGGCGGGCCGCATGCCCTCGCTCAGGCAGCGAGTGTGACCTGCTTGGCCTGGTCTGAACGCCAGCCTTTCCTGCCCCCCGGGCTGGTGCTGAGGGAGGTCGGGAAGCTGGCAAAGGGCACACGGCCTCCAGGCAGCAGGCTGGGCTTTAGAGCAGAGGCTCTTGACTTGGGGGCTCTTGGCCCAGAGGCTTGATGGCTCGGCCTTGGGCCTCAGGACCCGCCCCCCACCCAAGGCTGCAAACAGCTGAGAAACAGAGGCGGCCTCCATGGGAAGGCGTGGCGGGAGGAGGAGGGAAGGGGAAGAGAGCCCAAGGCCCCTCATGCCAACGCTGGGCTCACAGCTTTCCTTAAAGTCGCCCCACAGGAGTCAGCACCTGCTACCTCTTTACCAGCCCTGCCCCAGGGCCCCGGAGTCTTTCCTTTGCCCATGAGGGTGGTTTCTGCAGCTTATGGTCTCTCCAAGTTAGAGTCCCCCCTGGGCCACCACGGGCTCCTCCGAACACCAGAGGGGCAGGTCTGGGCTCCAGCTCTTGGGCCCGAGCCCGGGATAGTCAGTGCTTTCACCTGGACCGTTCAGCCAGCCCTGTCTCGTGGAGGCTGCCCTTCCTCTCTCCAGGCCGCCGGGTCCCCCTCTCCCCCCAGCCTCAGCGCCCAGGACGGAAGGTGCAGCCTGTCAGGCGGAGGGCTGGCCAGGACACCCCTCCGCCCAGTGTTCTGTTGGGACAGAGCGGCTGCGGAGCACCGTGACCACCAGGAGGAAGCGGATCAAGGGCCCGGGCCCGGGATTGCGTTCCACCAGGAGTCCCCAGCCCTGTGTTGAGACAGACCGAGAACTTGCTTTCCGCCAGGCAAATGTTAGCTTAGCGGAGCGGCCACGTCAGACGGCCTGAAACTCTCCCCACACCCGCCTGGGCTCTGACAGCGTGGCTGCTCCCTCGCCAGCGTCACAGCAAACAAACAGCCCAACCACACTCCTTCCTTCTTTCCTGGCCTCTGGGTCCCACGGGTGACCGGGGTGCCTTCCCACCCCAGGCGGCGTGGCAGCCCCTGTGGCAGTAGCAGCAGCAGCACGGAGAGCTCGGCCATCGGGCGCTGCCAGACAGGGACACTGGCGACCCTTCCTGCCTCCGGAAGAGGCTGGTCAGTGGGGCGGCTGCTGCCCTTGCCTATCCCTGCCAGGCAGGAGTGCAGGTGAGTGGGTCCGGCCTCCCTTCTCTCATCGGGAAAAGGGAGATACAAATGGCAGCACCCTTCTTCCCTAAGATCCTCCATGGAGGGCTCTGATGGTGCCAGGACGAGGCAGCAGCCACGGGAGGAGCAGGAGATTGGGGCCCAGAAGCTTAACCTGTCGTTCCGTACCTAGAGGGTCGCGCTCATTCAACACAAATATCCACTCAGCCGTTGGAGCCTTCATCCACGGGGCTCCGCGGTTTAGGGGACCCGGCTGGGCTCTCGAGAGGCATTAGGCAGGCAAGAGAGGAACTGGGGACTGCGCGCCCAACGTCCGGACAGGATTGAGTGTGTGCATGGGACACGCGCACAGGGGCCGGTGGAGGTGGCCGCCGAGCCAGGGAGGATGGGGCCTGGGCTAGGCGGACGGCGCGGCTGGGAGCCGACAGGACGACTGACCCCGAGGCGCGCACAGGTGGGCAGTGGGGCTTCGACGCAGCCTGTGGATTGGGGACCGGCGGTGCCTGCCCTTCTAAGGCTCTGTGGAGCAGGCGGGCATTGCTTCGCGAGAACTAGTGTGGACAGAAACCAACGTCACCGGCAGAACTGGAAATCGGAGACGCGATAGCCGTAACCAGGCAACCGCCGGCGGCTCGAGGTGCGCACGCGCACTCCGCCGCGGGTCAGCGCATGCGCCGTCGCCTCCCGCCAGTCTACCGGCCTTCGAGTCCAACGACCGAATGGGAAGAACGCGCCTGCGCCAGAGCACCGCTCGGATTCTCCGCTCAGCAGAAAGCAGTTCTCGGCAGGTGCACCTGCTGGCATCAGTCCTCCAGGACTGATTCTTCCTTCAAGTCTGATTGAAGAATCCCTACTATTCACACATCCTACAACGAGAAAGGCTGCGAGACAGAGTCAGCGTAACCGGGGCGACGTTTAGGAGCGGCCCCCCGCGCGCCCTCCCAGGCAGGTGGGCTAGAGGCGGGGCGAAGAGATGGGCGTTGGAGGACTGGATGAGGCGGAGGGCGGGGCCAAGGGCCGGAACTAAAGAATGGGGCGTTGAAGGATTGGACGCCGTCGGGGGCGGGGCCAAGGGATGCGGCAGTGAAGGATTGGACGCAGGCTGGGGCGGGGCCAAGGATGGGCCAAGGAAGGTGGAGAGCAAGGGGCGGGGTTAATATGGGGCGTGGCGAAGGGATGGGCGGAGACCAGGAGCGGGATGAAGGGCTGCGCGGTGAAGGACAGAACGCCGGGGAAGGGCGGGCCAAGGGGCGGAGCGTCGCGTCACCTGAGCAGCTCCTGGGGGCGGGTCTAACAGAAGGGGGCGGGGCGGGGGCGGGGCGTTAGAACAGCTGCGAGGGGCGGGACTGGTGGCGTGGCGGGCGGGCGTGGCGCGCGTTGACGTCGCGGCCGGACACGTCGGCGGCGCGGCGGCCCGGGCGACCGGAGCCGGATGTGCCAAGATGGCTGCAGCGGCTGCCGCATCTGCGCTCGTCTTAACTGCCGGGCCGGCTGGCGCCCGCGGCTCCTGAAGGGCTGGCACCTGGGACTGCGGAGGAGCCGGGCGGGGGCCGGCGCGAGCCACGGCCGCCCTGAGGCGCGCCGGTGAGGGCCGGGGTCGGGGCGGAGAGGGGCGGGAGGACGGGCCGGGCCCAGCCCCGAGCGGGCAGTGCGTCTCCGGGTGCTGCCGGAGGGTCGCCGGGGCGGGTGGGCGCCCACGGGCCGGGGAGCCGCGCGCCCGCCGCTCTACGCCCCTCGCCGCCCGCCGGTCAGACTGACGCGGACCCCCTCGTACGGCCGGGCCCTGGGCCAGGGCCCGGGCTCCGCTGTGTTGACACTTGGCCGGCGGGCGGCCTCGGCGCGGGGTCTCGGTGGAGCGGCCGGCAGCCGGCCAACCTGCAGCTCTGCAGGGCGCAGACGCCCCGGACGGGTCTCGGCGCGCCCACGCTGTTGTGTCCTCCTCGTGAGATCGGCGTCCCTCGGACCCACGGAGCCGCCTTGCTGTTGGCCGGTCATTTCGTGACGAGGGGACCAAGATGTCGCAACGGAGGCCGCCGAGCGCTCGCGTTTCCTGCCCGGGGTTAGAGGTCATGTGTGAACCAGCTTCGCCCTTTTCGCGGTGAAAGTAGGACAGTACGGAACCGGGACACATCGAAGCCGTTTAAAGCCCGTGGTTGCCGCTTCCCTTTGGACCGGCTTGGGGATTGGGCAGGAGTCGCGACGATTTTGTGCTCAGTACCTAGGACGGCAGGTGTCAGCCGGAGAGGCGTCCCCGTCCCCTCCGATCCCCGACATGGCAGGAGGCCGCCCGAGCCAGAGGCTGTCCGGGGTGACGCTTCCTGGGGTGACACTCGTGTAGGGCTGAGCGCAGCCCCTCCCTGCAGGCCCCCCGCCCCATGCCCTTACCTAGCGACCTAAGTGCTGTTATCGCGCAAAGATAAGACAAGAGGCAAAACAGCGTATTTCTTGTTCCCGTGACTCATTCACCTTCAGCAGCAGCCACTGCCCCAGTCGCCAGTTGTGCTGAGCGTTTCCTCTGGGCGGTGCGCACACCTCACGCTCCTGCGCGGCGCAGACATCGCTCCCAGTGCCCAGGCCCCACCGCCTTTTCCTTTTACCGTCTGAAGGTTTGATTCTGTAGAGGGTGGTGTGTACGGTCTCTCTGGGGCCAGTGCCCGTCGCCTGGCAGGGACGCCCATGGGGGAAGCTTGCGGGCAGAGGCGCAGAGGCAGGTGCTCCTCCGCAGGCCTGCTGGTTTGCACACACAGCTCAGCTGGAGGTTTGCACACACGGCTCAGCTGGAAGTTTGCACACATGGCTGGCGGTTTGCACACACGGCTCAGCTGGACGTTTGCACACACGGCTCAGCTGGACGTTTGCACACACGGCTCAGCTGGACGTTTGCACACATGGCTGGCGGTTCGCACACCCAGCTGGAGGCGGCGCTCTGGGAGGGGCCTCGTGCTGTAACTCGCTCAGTTCAGTTGCCAGGGACTTACATTAAAAGTAGGTTGTGCTTTTCACACAGATACAGGCAGTTTAAAGGAAGAGCGAGGTTTACCGAGAACGTACTAGGATCTCTAGGATCAGTTGGTGTCTTTGAGGCAGTTAAAGCTCGGTGACTTGAGGCTACAGAAGGATTTGCTGGACTGAATAGAATTCCCTGCAGTCATGAGATAAATGATGTGCAGTTGTGCTGGTTTTTGCTGGTGAATAGAGAAAAAAAGATCGAAAGAATAAGATTCTTCAAGATTGTTTCAAATGAAATTGGTATATTGCTAGAAAGTTCTCAGTTGTGTGGGGGGGGGGGTGAGGGGCGGGGAGAGACGATGCTACTTTGTAGGGAAGTGATAGTATTTGCTTCTAAAACAGTTCTGAGTCCAGGAGTTGAGAAAATAATTGTAAGGGTTTCAGCAAGGAAAACCTTTAAATATAAGCCTGTGAGATTTAGATTGTGATAAGATTTCCCTATTAAACACTGGTAGGGATTGGAGCATCCCAGAATCCACTGCGAGTAGAATTTCATAAGGTTACACCCAGAGGGGAGCTGAGGAATCATCATCATTCTCTCCTGTTCTAGATGAGGAAACTGCGTGGCAGAAAGAAGTGGGTGCCTGCGCCACCCCGCGGGGTGCGGCCTTGCGCCCACAGTGGCGCCTGACCGACAGGCCGCTAGGCTGGGCTCTGTCCTGTCTGAACGCTGCTCAGGCTGGCGGAGGGTCTTCCCTGAAGCCTGAAGGGAGGAGGCTGGCCTGGAAGGCGCCTGGTGCTTGCTTCACGGGTGAGAGGCGAGGCTCTGAGTGTTGTACCCTCAGTCCCTAGAGAGCTGAGCTGTAAATACTTTAAAATGACAGCTTAGCCCAGGCGATGTGGCTCAGGGGTTGAGCATTGAACTATGGAGATCAGGGTTCGATTCCCAGTTGGGCACATGCCCAGGTTGCGTGCTCGATCCCAGTGTGGGGCCTATAGGAGGCAGCCGATCAGTGGTTCTCATCATTGATGTTTCTCTCTCTCTGAAGTCAATAAGAATATACGTATTTAAAGATGACAGCTTAGAACCAGGTGACGTCTCCGTGCTGTTCCTATTGTCAGTCGATTAAGTCTGAGTGCGTTTCAAATGCTTGTCAATAGAAAGGGTTTCCCATTGGCCTCGGACAGCATGTGTGGGCAGCAGTGGTGAGTTAATAGAGTCATAGGGCTGGTTTTCAGGCAGGGACGGGAACTTTTATTTGTAAATTGCTTTACTTAAAACACACTCACGGTATTTCCTTTTATCTGAGTATTGGAAAGATTACCAAGAACATTGCCTGTCTGCAAAAATGTGGCTGAAACTCCAGAGCTGCCGCCATTTCTCCCGTGTTCACGTTTCCCTGTGATCGTGAAACTTGGTCTGCTGTCAGGGAGAGGGACTGACTCACAGAACGGGCGTCCTAAGGAGACAACTTGGACTTTTGTCTGAAAAATACAAGTCAGCTGTTCAAGATTATACTCCGTGTATCTCATTAAACAGGCAGCGGGAAACACTGTCTGGAGGATTTTGTCCCTTTGTTTTCTGTGAGCGTTTTGTTGACACTCTGCCTGATATGGAAAAGGTTTGAATCCTGTCACTTGGTCCCTTAGAGCTGCTCTGTGTGGCCGTCACGCCCGCACTCAGGACCCGGCTCCTGTCGCTGTGCAGCCAGGCCCAGGGCAAGCACATGGGCGCCGTACGAGGTGGGGTGCAGGCCTTCTGGGGAGTCCACGTCTCCCCCAAAGGTTTGCTCTGCAGCTTGTGTTGCTGTACTCGGTAACGCTCTGTCACGGGAGGGAGTGGGAGCCGTGGTAAGCTCTGGCTTTCCTTCGAGACTTCGGGTGGCCGGCCTGGCAGGGTGATGCGCGGTGTGGTCGGGTGGCTGACTCGGGGCCTGGGGACAGGCTCCAGGAAAGGTGGCCGCTCCCTGGGGGCAGCTCAGCCTGATGAGGGCATCACGGAGGCAGCGCCATCTGTGGGTCCTTGGTGGTGTTACAGAGCTGAGCCCCAGAAGAGGACGCTGACTCGCTGAGGTCACTCAGCAGGCCGGGCACGGCCGCATCTGCTCCGTCCAGGGTTCTCCCCTCGGAGCAGGCGCAGTTCCGGGTGGGAGTGGAGGTGGGAGAGACGCGCCCCTCAGGGCTTAGTGACAGGAGGTCACTGTCCGTCAAGTTCTTTGTTCTTATTTTCCTGATTGCAGCCAGGGCTTTGGATATGTGAACTTCATGCCAATTTTTCTTTTTCTTTTTCAGTTCAAATTAAGGATAACGTAGACCCTGCTTCTCTCTGGAAGTGGCATCTGATCGTGCAGGAGCTCCGCCATGCAGCCACCGCCGCAGGCTGTCCCGCCCAACGTGGTGGGGCCGCCTCCCGCGGGCAGCCCTCCAAGCATGTTCTGGTCCGGCAGTTCATACAGGAGACAGGCGGCGGCGAGTGCACCGGGGGCTGCGGTAACTGGCCCCCTGCAGCCGGTAACGGACCCGTTTGCTTTCAGTAGACAGGCTCTTCAGAACACCTCGCTGGGCAATTCGTCCAAAAGCAGCCCTCCCGTGCTGCTGGGCTCGGCCCCACCAGCGTTCCTTCAGCACCCGGGTCTGCCTGTGCCTCACACGAATGCTGGGGACAGCTCCCAAGGATTCCACGCGCCTCTGCCGAGACCTCTGTCGCAGCCCCGGCCAGCGGCCAGCCCCTTTTCTAGTGTGTTGACCCCTTCGGCACCTGGGCCCGAACTGAACAGGAGCGCCCAGGCCACTTCCAGCTCTGAACACGAAACCCAGGCTCAGTACATTCCAGGAGGGGGTTCCAGCACTTCTCATGGCGGCCCCCCACATGGGCACCTGCCTGGGCCTGACAGGCCCCCGAGTGGACAGAACCCTCACGATGGCGCTGCGGCACCCACCACGTCCTCTTTGTTCCCGCAGCCACATCCGCAGATGCCAGGGCAGATGTCAGGGCAGTGGGGGCCGGCCCAGGGCAGCCTGCAGCCCTTCGGGCATTATTGGCCCCGCCCAGAAGGCCGGGTTGCCAATGCGGCACCACAGGCCTCCAGCGCCTCCCACGTCCCCGCTCTGTCCAGCCCGCCTCAGGGGCCTGCCCATGAGCAGCACCAGCCTCCCGCCCCAGGACCTGCGGTCGACGGGAAAGATGGGGCAGCCTCCCTGCAGAGCGGCCACCACTCAGCGAGTCCCTTTGGCCTGGAGAGCACGTTCAGGCCGAGTGTCCGCGGGGGCGGTGCCGGGGCCGGCCCGGAGGTCAGGCCGAGTCCCGCCGTTAGTCACGAGCAGGGGCCAAACCCTGCTCTCGGGAACCCCTCCGCCCAGGGCAGCAGCCCGGAAAGCCATTCGCATTGCCCTCTGGGGGCCGCCAGCCGCGCCCTGCCAGAAGCAGACTCGGGCACGCTCTCCCTGTTCTTCCGAGGCGGAGAGATGGAGAATGAGGAGTCCCTTTCCTCCGAAAACACAGGCTCCGCGGCTCCGTCTTACTTTGACGGTTTCTCCCCCAGCCCTGTTCTGGGCCCTCCTCCGGCACACGCGGGCGCAGGCGGCGTCTACCAGGCCTTTCTCAGAGCCTCCCGTAGCGAGGCCGCACAGCAGGGAGGAGACACGCAACCTTACTTTCCTCAGTCTTCGGACACCCAGCTCGCTCAGCCAGCCGCTAAGAATGCTGCTGCTGACGTGTGGGGTGGCACGCCAGGCACAGGCACTCATGACGCTGGCGGCTCACACTGTGAGAATGTGGAGAACTTGGAGTTCACTCAGAACCAGGAGGTTCTGCCAAGTGAGCCCCCAAATCTGGATGCCTCCTCCCCAGGCGATCACCCCAGATATGCACCTCTTCCCGGGCCCCCAGGCCCCAGGCTCAGTGTCACAGGCCACGCGGCAGGCGGGGGCTCCAACCTCGAGGCCCTGGACGCGCCGCTGCACCCCGTGCGGTCTGATAGCGTGTCGTCTAGTTACAGCAGCAAGAGCCACAGGAGTGCGTCCAGCACAGCCAGGCCCCAGGACCTGGGCACCTTCATCCAGCAGGAAGTCGGCAAACCTGAGGAGGAGGCTCCCGGGAGCTTTTTTAAGCAAATCGATTCTTCTCCTGTGGGAGGCGAGACAGATGTGACCACCATGAGCCAGAATTACCACCACAGCCTGTCCCAGCCCTTGACCCCAAGCCCCCCCAAACCTACAGGGGTCTTTCAGACGAGTGCAAATAGTTCTTTTGAACCAGTGAGATCCCACTTAGTTGGAGTCAAACCAATTGAGGCAGATCGTGCCAACGTGGTGGGTGAGGTGAGGGGGAGCCATGCCCACCAGAAGCACAGACCAGCCGCTGCACCGCCCGACGCCTGCCCTGGCAACCTGGAGCAGCCACCAGACAACATGGAGACCCTTCTGCCACCTCGGGTCTGCCCTCTGCCTCTTCCCTCACCCGCAGAAGCCAGTCACAGGCTTCCGCACCCTGGAGGGCCGCCCTTGGAGACTGTGCCCGCGACACCGGAGAAGAGGCCCTCGACCCGGGCCCAGGGAGCCATGAAGTGTGAGAGCCCAGCCACGACTCTGTGGGCGCAGAATGAGCTGCCAGACTTTGGGGGCAACGTCCTGCTGGCCCCGGCCGCTCCTGCACTTCACGTGCCTGGGAAGCCTCAGCCGTCCGAAGTGGTTCAGCCTCCAGACAAGGGGGTGTCTGGCCAGCGGGCCGGGCCACCGGGCTGCCTCGCCCCTCTGCAAGGCGCGGAGGGCATTGGTGCTTCTGAGAACCTCGAGAACCCTCCCAAGATGGGGGAAGAGGAGGCCCTCCTGTCGCAGGCAAGTTCCGGTGGTGCCAGTCTGCTGTCCTCGCCGCCCACTGAGTCTTTGCACAGCCAGCCAGCCTGGGTCGCTCAGCCCGATCAGAGCGCTCGCCTGGCTCAGCCCCTTCCCTTTCCCGTGTCCTTGTCCCATCCCACGGAGAAGACTCCGTCCAGGAGAGACGCTCGGGTTGGGGACAGATCTGCCGGGAGCAGCTGGGCCGCGGGAGCTGATGCTGGAGAAGCCGCGCCTCTGCCTGGGGTTCTAGCCAGCGCGCTCACCTGCTCGCCTCTGTCTCACAGCCTTGCCCAGAGTAACTTCCCACACGTTTCTGCTCTTTCTGAAACGGTTTCCACTCCACCTGCTAATTTGCTGGTTCAGCCACCATCTCATCCAGCTCCAAAGAACTTGCTTCCGGGTCGGAAGAGCCCCAGTGCCGAGAGCGCGCTGCCGGAGTTGGTTAGTAGCCCTGCCGGGAGCACAGGCCTCCTGCTGCTGGCACCCGCAAGCGACGCTTTGGGGCCTCATAGTAATAAGGCAGACCCCCCCAGGAATCGGGAAGAGACTTGGGGAGCCCTAGACTTCACACTGAATGGGACCGTGGAGAAGCCTGTGAGGTTGGATAGCCTGTCCCATGCCGATGGCCCAGCTGCTGCTCCGCAACCCACCCCCAGTCATCCCAGTCAGCCTGGGCCTGGGGCACGTAACCCAGACCATTTCTACCAACAGGTGACGAAAGGTGCTCCCAACCAGCGTGGCCCCGAGAGAGCCCAGCAGGAGCCAGCTCCTCCCCCACCAGGGCCCACAGCAGCACCTTTCGAACCCTCAAACCCAGAAAGCCCACCAGCACCAGGGCAGCCCCAGAACTCGGCCCAGCCACCTGCCAGTCCGGCTCCCGCGGACCTGGGCCAGCAGCCGCCACCTCGGCCCCCTCCGTCCTCCAGCGCATCGGCCGTGTCCAGCAGCTCGAGCCAGGCAGCCGTGCCGCCGGGCCAGCCGTGGATGCCGCCGCAGCCCCTGGACTTGGCGTCCTACTACTATTACAGGCCCCCATACGACAGCTACCCGGCCCAGTACCCCTCTCCATACCCACCAGACCCAGGCACAGCCCCGCTCTACCAGGTAGGCTTGAGCTCAGACGGTTGAACCCTTTGACCAGCGGTCTTTCCTTGCGAGTTCCTTGGCAGGGTTCTGTGGGTTCAGAAGTGACCGGTGGGCACTGCCCGCGGACGCCGGTTCTGTGCACTGGGCATGAGAAAAGTGCTCCAGCCACCACTGCTCTGCCCCACGGCGCATCTCACGAAGTCCACACGACGTGTCTGTGCATTGAATTGCGGAGATAATCTTAATCCTCGTGTAATGCAGCGCCCCCACTTGTGGGACAGGAAAGCCCTTTGCTTGTGTGGCGCCTGTTGGCTGTCCTAGTCCCGTTGAGAGTCACAGGCTGGGTCACAGGAGAGCCACCTGAAGCTGGTGTGTGGTGGTGACATCAGAAACCTCCCTACGAACAGCAGGAAGCGAGTCTTTTAATGCTTCCTTCAGAAGAAACGGGGAAGTTAGCTCTGGCCTGTAACCCAAGTGAAGCCGCGAGGAGGGTGAGAGTCCACCAGCTCCTCCCAGGCCCGGGGAGGCGGCACACAGGGCCTCACAGCGACGGTGCGGCAGCTCCCAGTGTGGTTGCCTCAGGTTCTGCTGAGTCCTGCCTTCGCTGGAAAAGGGGGTTCCAGCTGGACACCTTATTACCTGGCTTTCCTCACCTCTAGTCCAGGCCCAGGGTCCTCCAAGGTCAGCCGAGGCGCAGGGTGGTGGGCCAGGGAGGTTGAAAGCACAGACTCGCTGCAGGCAGGGCAGGGGCAAGGGCTGGTGGCCGAGCTGGGGACCTTGTGTTCAAAGAGGTTGGGTCAGGGCTGGGCCGGGTCGGCTGATGGGAGACTGTGCCCTGTTGTGGGCCCCTCAGCATGTGTGTGTGTGTGAGTGTGAGTGGTTGGCTACACCTCTGACCACTGACACCTGCGAGTGTTGACTCCCATAGCAGGGAGCTGAGCTCTGCTGGGAGCCCGGGAGGCACAGGGAGCACCGCGCCGCTCCAGGTCCTTTGTGGGCGCTGCGCAGCGCCCGGAGTTTCTCCCGGCGGCACCACTCCTGTGGGCCGGCGCCCTCTGCCTTCCTCTCGGCCGCCCCAGCTTCCAGCACCAGCCCAGGAGTGTGTGCCAGGTAGTGGCGGAGAGTTGGGCTGTCAGACGTGAACTGATTCTGCTTCAGGTCCTCACATGGCCGCCCCTTAGAGGCGGAGCCGTGGCGATCAGTGATTTGTAAGAGGCTGGATGCCTCTAAGAGCCAAGTACCCTCCCCCTGGGTTGCCTGTAGCTTCAGGACCAGGCAGATGGAACCCTGGGTCCTTGGCTTGCTTACCTGGGATGGTGTCTGGGGCAGGGCACAGCTTGAGTCCCGGCACCTCCGCGTTTGAGACCTCAGGAGGCAGAAGCCTAACAGCCCTCACGAGTTGCCATGGCTGCGGGGTGCCTGCTGCATGCTGGCCTCCCCTGAGCAGGCCGGGCTGGGGCTGGAGGGCAGCGCTGCCTGCCTGGGGCCGTTATCCTGGAGGTTTTCTGTTTTGCTCGGGGAAGTCCCGTGTCCCGCGCCCCTGGGAGAGCCACCCGTGCAGCCTGGAGCTGGTGCCTGCTCCTGGGGGCCTGATGCTGCATAAACCTGTCTTCCCACAGGACGTCTACGGCCTATATGATCCCAGGTACAGGCCCTACGATAGCGCGGCGTCCACCTACGCTGAGAACTACCGCTACCCCGAGCCGGAGCGGCCCAGCTCCCGGGCGAGCCACTGCTCAGACCGGCCGTCTGCCAGGTGATGTTTGTGTTGCTGGCTGTAGTGATGTCCTGATGTGGAGAGACTGTGTGAGGAGTGTACACCCTGCTGGTTGCCGTTTTGTCCATGTGGACAGGCTGCAGGATGCGTGTTTACATGGAGGTCAGCACACCCCATGCAGCCATGGCCACGCGTCAGCCAGACCCAGGGCGGAGCCCTGGAGGCACCCCTGTCCTCGGGCAGGGTTCCCCCAGCCCAGGCGGTGGTTATCGCTGGGGCGCGTGCGACCTGGAGGCTCACTGACGGAATGCTCAGGGTCCTAGACTGTGGCAGTTTTTACCTTGCAGACTGGTACCCCCGCAGGCCAGAGTCCACGATGCTGATGCCAGGCAGGCCTGGGCCTCGGTACTTTCCAAGCAGCCCCTGTGCTGGCGCTCCGGCCGGCTTCTCTCGCGGGCGGACCCTGGCTGGATTTGCGATTACAAACAAGCATGTTGAAAGAGCCCCGGGCCGCACCTTCAGCCGCGTGAGAACTGGCGCTCAGAGGCCTCCGCTCAGTGGCTGGGGGGGGGCGGGACGAGGGAGGTGGCTGTCAGGGTTCCAGCTCTGCCGCCTCCCAAAGCCTTCACCTGGCGAAGTAATGCCTCACAGCTGTCGGTGCTACGAGGGCACGTGGTTCCTTAAATGTGGGACAGAGAGGTGTGGCCGCCGGTGCAGGCTTGGTTCACGCACTGCCTTTCAGAACCGTGGGCTCCTTACTCTGGCCCCTCGATGTCTGGTAGCTGGTCAGTGAGTCTGTGCCATCAGCTGGCCTCTGTCCAGACCCGCAGAGGGCGCGCTGAGCTGCGTGTGGCCCAGTGCTGGGGTCCAACCCCAGCAGGTCCAGGGGTCCCCAAAGGTATGGACAGAGTCAGCAAAGAAGGAATGACACAGAGGCAGCGTTCAGTTGATCAGCATGGTTGGGTTCTCTTGCCTGGTTCTATTGCCAGGTTCTGTAGGTTCTCCAGCCAGGTTCTGTAGCCATGTTCCCTCGCTAGATTCTCCAGCCAGGTTCAGTCACCAGGTTCTAGTCAGGTTCTCTTGCCATGTTCTCTCACTAGGTTCTGTGTCTAGGTTCTGTGTCTCTTGGTTCTGTCTTCTAAGTTCTGTCTTGTTACATCTGTATTTATACCAGTTGATTCCAATCCTATCAATCTCTATTCCAAAGGTTAGGGCGTTTCTTATCTCCATTCCAGGGAGTAAAGATTATGTAGCTTAAGCATGATTGTTCGTAGTTTGATTGATTACCCGCCTGGCACTTAGTTAAGGGGTTTTATTCCCTCCCTAACTTCAGGGGAAAATCCCTACCTGGGGAAACAACCTTTCTCAGAGAGGTGACCTTGGTTAAAACACATAGTGCCAAGCAGGTGAGCAAACATATTAAGAACAGTATGCCATATATGCCAGGTCCCTTGAAACAGCAAGGATGGACCGGCTCCCGGCAGCCCAGTGGGCCAGGTGCTCATGTCCTAGCGCAGCCGTGGGCAAACTACGGCCCGCGGGCCGGATCCGGCCCATTTGAAATGAATAAAACTAAAAAAAAAAAGACCGTACCCTTTTATGTAATGATGTTTATTTTGAATTTATATTAGTTCACACAAACACTCCATCCATGCTTTTGTTCCGGCCCTCCGGTCCAGTTTAAGAACCCATTGTGGCCCTCGAGTCAAAAAGTTTGCCCACCCCTGTCCTAGCGCCTGGGGACCACCCTGCTGCCTGGGCAGCGTTCTGACTTGGCGAGAGCCGTGGGCCGGTGTTTTCTAGAACCCCTGGAGGCCAGGGGTCGGGAGGCGGGTGGAGCCAGGGTGCATCTGGCTGTTCCGGTTTCCCTTCACTCACCCACCTACAGATTCATGTGGCGACATTTCAGAGGCCAGAGCTGCTCTGTGTGGAGAGGCGCCCAACGAGGCGGGCGGTGACGTGGGAGGTGTGTCCCCGTCTGCCACGTCCGCACCACTTGCAGCGCTGGGGAGCAGCCTCCTTGGCCCTGCTGTGGTTGGGGTGCGTGCGTGTTCCCACGTGGTGTGTAGCGTCAGTTCGTCTTCGTTGTGCAGCTGGGATCACATCCCTGTGGGCGCTGCTCGAGGTGACGTGGCCTGTTGTTTCTATGATTGCCTTTCCCACGAATGCGGGGTTCGTGGGGGCAAGGAGGTCGTGTTCCTGGTTTTGTGCCGCATCAGGTCATTTTTCGGAGACCCCCCTCCCCCATGCATGGACGGGTGCTCACCCCTGGGGCAGTGAGCGCGGGTGCTGGGCTGAGGTCCTGCACTCCTTCCCCAGGGCTGCACCCACCAAGCCCCAGGATCAGCTGAGTGAGATGTGAGCGAAGTCTTTTAAAAATCAATTATTACAGCCCTTGCTGGTGTGGCTCAGTGGGTAGAACCCCAGCCTGGGGGCTGAAGGGTCCCGGGTTCAGTTTCGATCAAGGGCACAAGCCGGGGTTGTGGGCTCAATTCCAGTAGAGGGCGAGCAAGAGGCAGCCAATCAGTGATTCTCTCATTGATGTTTCTCTCTCCCCCTCTCCCTTCCTCTCGGAAATCAATAAAAATATATTTCTTAAAAAAATGAAGTATTACCTAAAACTTGCTATTAAAGAACAAAAATGTCAGTAAGCCCTTTCAGCAGGTCAGGTACCTGATCTTCCTGCTAAATTTCACCCTTTCTATAATGCAGGTCACAGCCAGGCTTGCTCTGTGAGGCCAGCCTGGCTGGTGCATGGCAGGGCCCACGCTGGTCTGCTCTGAGGGCACCAGTCTGGGCGCACTGGGACCCGCCCGGAGGACACGGGCACGGTCTGTGCAGCGGGTCTGGAAGTCGGATCCGACTCCCCTCCACACCCCGGCACCTTGGCATCGGCTGAGTCTGACATCCACACTCAAGAGCCGGTCCCGGCCCTGCTCCGGCGACGGCACTGAGAACGCCACGATCTGTGCTGGGCGCTCGTGTGGTTGTCATAGAGGCACTTCAGCGCGCTGGGCGCAGGGAATCCCTGACGCTCCTGGCTCTGGGTCTTCTGATTAGGACTCTCCATGACCAAGGGCTTGGACGAGTGCCTGTCGCCTGGGTGCAGTCTGGAGGCCGATACCTGCTGCGCTTTTCAGAAGTAGGTGGCTTGTTGGTAATTCCTGTGTGGTTTCAGGCAGGGGCCTCCTGAGGGCTACTACAGTTCCAAGCGTGGATGGAGCAGCCAGAGCGATTACGCCGGCTACTACTGCGGCCAGTACGACTATGGAGGTACGTCAGCCTGGGCCACGCCCCGGGCCTTAGGCGGAGTCCCCGCTGTTAGTCTGTCTTCATCCCAGAGCCACGGTCACCTGCCTCTGGAAGTGATTCTGTGGCTGCTTTTCATCCAGAAGCTGCATCGTGGTCACAGCACGCGTGTGTCTGGCTCACACGAGCTGTTCTCTGACTTCCGAGAACAGTTGCCAGGGGCCCGGGGCTGCCTTTCCTGTCCCTGCGACCGTTCACATTGATCAGAGGAACATGAGCCGCCCCTGGGCTAGTGTGTCTGCCCTGCTCTGTGGCCACGGGGCTGTGGCTCCGGCACTGGAGGTGCAGGCGTGTCCCCTCGCTGTCGGGGGAGGGGGGGGCCTCTTGGCTACGTGTCCCTGAGCCCTGCTCCTCTGCCAAGCTGTGTCCTGCTCGGTGCAGAGGGTCCAGGCCAGCAGCCCTCGCTTACCCAACACGGCCCTCCCGCCCCGCCCCGCTCACAGGCCTCTGCCTCCCTTCCACGTAACACACTGGCGGCTCGGATGGGACTGGCCCTGTTCAAGCAGCCCTTTGGTTCTGAGGGTCTCCTCACCCTTCCTAGGCCACATCAGCAGAGATGGGAGTAAAGCGTATAGTTACGGGGTGAACTGTTCAAAAGTAGTAACTACGGGCAAGAATTTAACCAGATGTCATGTAGCAGGTTTCTCTTCTTAATCGTGTATTGGGAGGACGAGCCAGCGGCCACTGGGTGTCACACAGGGACAGGACTCCGCGAGACCTCCGGCATCTCAGCACCCAGGGTCATGCCTCTCGGGAGGACAGCGAGGCTCCTCGGTGCTGGGGGCGCAGCGTCTCCCACGCGTGTTGTATCAGCTCGTTAATCCCTTGCTTGCAGATCCGGGCCGCTGGGATCGGTACCCCTATGGGTCTGGGTTCAGGGATCCCCGCCCCTATGACCGCAGGTATTGGTATGACGCGGAATACGAGCCGTACAGGAAAGACAGCTACGCCTATGCTGACAGGTGGGTGAGAAGCCCTTCGCCAAGGGGGATGGGAATCAGCTGCGCTTTGTAACGCCCCACCAGCTGCGGCTGGGGGTCCCGGGAGCCGCTGCCGTCACGGCCACTGTCTGAAAGGGGCGGGCAGACTGGGCCGCTGGCGTCACTCACTGTGGGCGCAGCACAAGCGCCTGGGATCGCCTTGCCCTTGTTGCCTCGGTGGCTGTGACCTTGCAGCCTGCTCCCCTGAACCTGCACCTGGGGCTGACCTTGCCCCTGGGTTCCAGGCAGCCCCTCGGGGGCGGGCTCGGACCGTGTCCTGTGAGGCAGGCCCCGTCATGATGTGAGGGCACGGGCGGTGCGGGCCCGTAGGGCTTGAGTGCTGAGCAGTGCGTCATGCCAGCGGCCTCAGTGCCCTCTCTTGCCTCTGCCCCACTGGCCCTCCAGGCCCGAGAGGTACGACGACCCCTGGAGGTACGACCCTCGCTTCACAGGGAGTTTTGATGACGACCCTGAGCCCCACAGAGACCCCTACGGGGACGACGTGGACCGGCGCAGCGTGCACAGCGAGCACTCGGGGCAGAGCCTGCGCAGCGCGCCCAGCGTGCACAGCCGCCACAGCAGCTTCAGCGCCCACTCGCAGCAGGTGCGCGCGGGCCCGCGGGGGCGGCAGGCAGGCTGTCCACAGCTCTGTGTAGACCCAGGTTCCCCCTGCTCTGGCAGCACCTCCGGGTCTGGCTGGCGCGCCTGTGAGCTAACTACCTGCCGGCTTTGTGTTTCCTAAGAGCCAGGTTTACAGAAGCTGCAATGTGACCGTGGGGCCTTATGAGGCTCCGCCGCCACCAGGCTCCTTCCATGGGGACTATGCCTACGACGCCTACATGAGCAATTTCAGCAGCGCCCAGGGCTTCCCAGAGTACGGCTACCCTGCTGACGCCGGCTGGCCCTCCGTGGAGCAAGGTGTGTGTGGTCAAGGCCCTGGGTGCTCTCAGGTGCAGGGGTGCCGAGTCACCCCTCGGTCACCTCACAAGCCTGGGGCGAGAAACGGGAGTGAGTTGCAACTGAGGGCATTTGTGATGGCCTGACCGGGTCCTCCCCGGAGTAGGGACAGCTGTGTCACAGCACGCCCGTCCTTCTGAGGGCCAGGCTGGTCCCGCTGGGCTGGCAGCACCCTCGGCTGTAGCTGGGCTCACAGGCCGGAGAGCTGCCCTGCCTCTGTCACGGGCCCTCGTGTGACTCCTGTGGCTCACCGCCAGGCTCTCGGGTGGGGCCTCCTGTTCCCATGCCGACCACGCGGGTCAGCAGCCTGTGGAGGGAACTCCGATTCCCCTAGAAAAGCTGCCCTCGGCTTTCCCACTGCCACGCTCAGCCCTCGGGAAGGCCTGTTACTGCTGAGTCTTGGAAACTGTGAAAATAGGTGATGTTCTTGAGATAGTATTTCAATTGCAATCCTCACCCGAGGACACGCTTAGAGAGAGGAAGGGAGAGAGAGCAGCGATGGGAGAGGAACAGCAGTGGCATCCATTGATTGCCGCCCTCTCCCCCGCCCCCCGCATACGCCCCTCCTGGGGACCAAACCCGAAAATGCCCAGGGCTTGAACCCGTGACCTTTCAGTGCACCGGACGTGCTGGACCTGAGCCGCCAGGCTGGGCTGCGGCCCTCCTCGCCTTCACTGGGTGCGGTCACGGCCCCGCCGTTGAGGACAAAGGCTCAGGCACGAAAGGTCCTGGGTGCTGCTTCCTGTGACAGGCGCGTCGGGTGGTGTTCAAGAGCTTTTAGATTTCGAGGAGATGGTTTCGTTTCTAAGGATTTAGACATTTCTTAAGCCGCGCTGGAGTTTACTTTAATGGGGCCTTTAGCCACTAGTGACTTCCAACTGAAAGTCAGTTCATGTGGGTCCTCAGCCTGTGGGCACCTTGACATCGAGCTGTGGTCTGGCTCCGAGGCCCCAGAGCTGACCCCCGGCTGTGTCCTGTTCACGTCCTCCCTGCAGCTCCATCGAGACCGACTTCCCCGGAGAAGTTCTCCGTGCCCCATGTCTGTGCCCGGTTTGGTCCTGGGGGTCAGCTCATCCGCGTGATCCCCAATCTGCCCTCAGAGGGACAGCCGGCCTTGGTGGAAGTGCACAGCATGGAGGTGAGGCCGGGGGTGGCCGCGGGCCCACAGGCCGTGCCTCAGCCTTGTCTGAAAACGGTCTTGCGGAGTGTTTCCTCCGTGGACCCTCGGTGGAGGGGGTTTTATTTGTTCTGTGTGGTTGTGCGTCTTTTATCTTTGTTTGCACTTCTGGTTTTGAGGGGAGGGCCTGTTGGTGTTCAGTACTGGTGATTTCAGTGACGAGTAGGGAGGTGGCCAGGGGGGGTTGGGGTGCCCTGGGAGCCTGTGTGGTGGGCACTGTTTTGTGGCCCACCAGCCTCTGTCACATGTATTGGCTCAGAGTTCAGGGGGAATGGGTCTCGCCGCTTTAAAGGGTGAAAGTCACTGTTGCCAACCAGACACGGCCAAGCCCCTGGTGGAGTGCCTCGGCCTCCCCGATGGGACAGACCGTCCTCGGGTCAGCAGACACGGGGGGCAGTGGCGGAGCCTGCCCTGAGCTGCCCCTCCCTGTCCCCCCTGTCCCTCCCTGTCCACAGACGCTGCTACAGCACCTGCCGGAGCAGGAGGAGATGCGCGCCTTCCCGGGGCCGCTGGGCAAGTAGGTCCCGCCGGGCACGGGCCGCTGTGGGCACCGCGTGAGCGTGGCTGGGCCGCGGCGCTCATCGCTGTCCACTGAGGGCTGTCCTTCTTTCAGAGACGACACCCATAAGGTGGACGTTATTAACTTTGCGCAGAGCAAAGCCACCCAGTGTTTGCAGAATGAGAGCTTACTTGACAAAGAGTCCGCAAATCTCCTCTGGAATTTTATCATCCTGCTGTGCAGACAGAACGGGGTACGTGCCGTCTTACCTGGAAAACGCCTCTTCTTGGCCTGGAGTCTTGGGGACCCTGGGTCTCCCACGGCGTGGGGAGGATTTCTGTGCTGGGCCGAGCACGCGGAGCCGTCTCAGCAGTGACGTGGGGCAGGGGAGACAAGCGGGTGTGCAGCTGGGGCGAGGGCAGGTTCGGGCCCACCATGTTGGGCTGTCGGGCTCCTGGGTGTGTGGGGGGTGGCGGCGTGCACTGGGCGGCCTGTTGGCCTCCCCCAGCAGGGCCTGTGGGAAGTCCTATCCGTCGTGAAGGCCCTTGTTCTTTCTGTCCCCGCCGCCCTGCAGACCGTGGTGGGCACAGACATTGCCGAGCTGTTGTTACAAGACCACAGGACGGTGTGGCTTCCTGGGAAGTCACCCAACGAGGCCAACCTGATCGACTTCACCAGCGAGGCCGTGGGTCAGGCCGAGGAGGAGGAGGAGTCGGTGGAGGCCCAGCTTTCCTTCCTCACTGACAGCCAGGCCGCCACCAGCTCTCTGGAGAAGGAGACGGAGCGGTTCCGGGAGCTGCTGCTCTATGGCCGCAAGAAGGCGAGTTCCGAGCTCTCGGACGCCGGGGCGTGTCCTGGCGCCGCCCCATGGGCTTAAGTGCCAGGAAGCTGTGGGAGGGACAGGCCTGCCTGGAGAGCACCGGGCCTTGACGGCAACCGGGTGAACAGGGGTCTGGCCCTGTTGTCTCTGAAGGTGTCCGCGCCGTCTCCTCACACGTTGCCAGTGTTGAAGCCTCAGTTTCCCTCCTCACTCCCGCACAAGTGCACGCAGTTGCACTCGGGCTGTGCCCGCCCGTGCAGTGCTGTCGGGTGAACACGTGCACGAGACAGACAGCCCGTGGTCACAGTTAGGGGTGCGCTCAGCCTCTGAGGTGTGCTGGGTGTGGGGGAGCGGTGCCCAGTGGGAATGGATCAGGCACAGCGAGTGCAGAGGCTGCGGCTGGGGAGAGTGGCAGAGACCTCGCACAGGTGCTGGCGCTGTGGCCGTTCTCTCTGGTTGTGCCCAGTGGAGGGCGGGTCTAGGGTAGAGGGGTCCCTGTGGGCTGTGGGCACATGCCCAGCTCTGCATGGCCCGGTGGCAGGGGTCTGACAGCCCCAAGTCCTTGGTGCTTGTATGTCGTGATAAGCTCAGGTCACGGTCAGAAGCTCTCTGAGATACCAGGTCACTTGGCTGAGGGGACACACTGTCCACGGGGAGAGGCGTCATCGCCCTGGGAGTGGCGTGCACAGTGGCCCAGTGGGAAGGACCTCTGAGGGTGGCAGCGCTGCCTCCCGGCGTCCCGTGTCTACTGGCCTGCTTGTCCTAGTTATTAAAAACAAGTTTTTAACGTATTGATGTTGCGGAGAGGAGAGAAGCAGGACCTTGACTTGTTGTTCCCCTTGTTCATGTGCCCTGACCTTGGTGCGTCGGGGTGGCACTCTAACCACCGAGCCGCCCGGCCAGGGCTGCTTGTAACAGTTTGTAAAAGCAAGACCCACGGCCACAGGCACTGTGATGGGGGGTGGGGGCAGTGGCACAGGTGTGTTCTGGGGGCCGTGGAGGCAAGTGTGTCGCACCACAGTCGAGCCCTTTCCTCTTTCCCGGCCACGCGGACGACACGCTCCCCGGCGCCTGACTCGCATCACGTGAGTCACTGCCACCTCGGCTCACCGCGCTGCTTTGCAGGATGCTTTGGAGGCCGCGATGAAGAACGGCCTGTGGGGTCACGCCCTGCTGCTTGCCAGCAAGATGGACAGCCGGACTCACGCCAGAGTCATGACCAGGTACAGACTCGCTGGGCTGGCGGCTTCTGGGCGCAGCCAGCTGGTCGGGCAGCCGCGCCTTGGCAGCTCTTCGAGGCACAGGGTCTAGCTCTCGCAGAGAAAGCTGGGCCTCCCCTGCGCTGCGGGGCCGCTCCCTGTGCACTGCTCGGTGCTGAGCTCTGTCAGATCGCTGAGCGCCTTGTCTCTCTCGGCCTTTAAGGGCCTTTAACACTGAGCTGCGTGCGCGCTGAGGGGCGGGAGGCATCGGGCTGATGGTTGAGGGGCTGAGACGGGCCAGTCGTGTGGGGAGCTGGGCCAGGTCAGCTTCCTCTCGTGTCTCCCCAGATTCGCCAACAGTCTTCCCATCAACGACCCTCTGCAGACCGTCTACCAGCTGATGTCCGGGCGGATGCCTGCAGCGTCCACGGTCAGTGGCGCTCCCGTGGCTCTCGCAGCCGCGTGCGTGGGGACTGCTCCGGCGGTTTCATCGCAGGATGAGGCTGCCTTCCTTTCTGCCCTGCCCCTCGCTCCCGGAGCCCGACCCTGCAGGCTGGTGACACTCGGCCCGGGGTCACCCAGGGTAAGGAGTGTCCCGCTGACTTTCCGTACCTAGTGCTGCGGCGATGAGAAGTGGGGAGACTGGAGGCCGCACCTCGCCATGGTTCTGTCCAACTTGAACAACAACATGGATGTGGAGTCCAGGACGATGGCCACGATGGGCGACACGCTAGGTGGGTCCGTGCAGACGGGAGGCCGTGGGCGTGGGGCACAGAGACTGCGTGCAGTGTGTCAGGTGGAAGGGACAGGACTCCCGTGCCTCTGGCATCGCTGCCACTGGCTGTTCGCCATCTTTGATTTCGGGAGAACCCCCCGACCGAGACGTGGCCCCTGTGTCTCCTCAGCCTCGAAAGGCCTCTTGGACGCTGCACACTTCTGCTACCTCATGGCTGAAGTTGGATTTGGGGTTTATACCAAGAAAACCACAAAACTCGTCTTAATTGGATCGAACCACAGGTGAGGAATTGCATAACTGTGTGCCCCTCCCCGCCCCTCCCTCCTGTTAACCCAGAACGGAGCCGGGAGGCGGCCTCTCGGCCTGACTGTGTGGCATGACATGCTGCTGGGGGACTGGCTCAAATAAGTTCACTCCTTTCCTCAACAGTTTGCCATTTTCAAAGTTTGCGACCAATGAAGCCATCCAGAGGACAGAGGCCTATGAGTATGCGCAGTCGCTGGGCACGCAGTCCAGCCCCATGCCCAACTTCCAGGTGAGCCCCGCCCACAGGCTGGGCACGCAGTCCGGCCCCATGCCCACCTTCCAGGTGAGCTCCGCCCACAGGCTGGGCACGCAGTCCGGCCCCATGCCCACCTTCCAGGTGAGCTCCGCCCATGGGGCTGGTGAGGCTGCGGGCTGTGGGGTGGAAAATTCTCACGCAAAAGGCAGTGTTTTTGGAAATCTTGGGGCGACATTGATCAGTAACGTTTGAGAATAAACCCTGTTGAATTGAGGATTTTGTTTGTATTTTGGGTCTTAATATTTAAAATCTTATAAATCTCGAGTATTTTGTTTCTATCAGCTATTTTTAGCGTGATGAGTGTTATCTGACCCAGGAGTGAGTGTGAGAGTGAGCGTGTGTGTGTGCGTGTGTGTGTGGCACTTGCATGACCCTGAGCGAGGAGACCGGCTGTGGGACAGTCCTCGGGGGCGGGGCTGTGAGCATGTGCTGACTGCGGCCTCTCTGCTTGGACCTGGCAGCTCTGAGGGCTGCAGAGAAGGACTGTGCTTCCGAAGCTCGCAGTGTCCTGTGCTCTGAACTGTCTCCAGGAGCAGGACGCGCTGTGGGGGCGGGGCTGGGGGGCGCGGCCCCCAAACCGTCCAGGACAGTTCTCAGCTGCGGGGCTGTGGGGCGGCTGCAGACGGGAGGAGCCGCGGGGGCTGAGCTTGTGTGTGTGTTTGCTCCAGGTGTTCAAGTTCATCTACTCCTGCCGCCTGGCCGACATGGGGCTGGCCACGCAGGCCTTCCACTACTGCGAGGTCATCGCCAAGGGCATCCTGCTGCAGCCGCACAGGCACTCCCCCGTGCTCATCAGCCAGCTGGTCCAGGTGCGGTCCTGAGCCGCCCCCGCCAGCCTGGGGTCCGGGCGCCAGACTCGGGGGGGGGGAGGTCGGGACGAGTCACACACTGAGATGCTCTCGGGCAGCTGCTGGTGTCTGGCACGTTAGCGTATGAGTCCGTCCGTCTCGCTCCCGTGCAGAGACTGCGCCGGGAGCTCCAAGGCCAGAGCAGAGGTCGGTCCCGCCGTTAGTGGAGCCTGCGGGTCCGACAGCCTGGGTTTGGGTCCTGCTGACCCACTGCGGCCTGGTTTCCCCGCCCTGGGCGGTGAGGCAGCGTGACTGGCCCCAGAACTGTGGACCCTAGACGGGATGGGACAGCGCCCAGCCAGCGCCACAGTGTGTGTCCCCTCCCGGAGAATGTGCTCAAGTGACACCTAGGAAGGTTTTATTATGGAGGCTTTCGGACAGTTTGAGGCCAAGCTTGCTTCATCTGGTCCCGCCCACGGCCCCTCAGTTCCCCCCAATCCCCCAGCCCATCTCCCCACCCGATCAGAGTACGTCTGTGTCTACGTCAGTTCCGCACTTGGCTTGGCCAAGTCCAGTCTGTTGTCAGGTGGCGGCGGCAGGAAGTTCAGCTCCGGGGTCTGGGCCCTGCGGACCCCGTGCAGCCACCCCGCGGTCAGCTCCTGTGAGCGTGGCGTCCGGGCTCGTCCTGTGGCCCCACTGAGTGGGAGGCCTGCAGCAGAGGCCCGCTCAGCCCTGGGTGCGTCTGCTCCAGGTCGGAGCAGCTGTGAAGACACTGGTGGTGACGGGCCCGCCTTCTCGTGTGTCTCCAGATCGCTTCCCAGTTACGCCTCTTCGACCCGCAGCTGAGAGAGAGGCCGGAGGAGGAGTCCTTTGTGGAGCCTGCCTGGCTGGTGCAGCTGCAGCGTGTGGAGCGGCAGGTCAAGGTGAGCGTGGCTCCGTCGCGGCTGGCACTTCTCGTGGCTGGTTTCCACCTGTGGTGTTGGGCGTGGACAGGACAGGGAAGGCGTGCGAGTGTGTGGCTTGGGGATGAGGCAGGACGGCTCCCACAGCCTGGCTGCCAGCGAGGCCTGAGCCATTTGTCCACAGGAGGGTGCTGTGGTGTGGCGTCAGGACCCGGCCTTCCCCCAGCGCTGTGCCAGCACCCCCAGCTCCGAGGTGGGACAGTACGATGGGCCAGGACCCGAGCAGCCCTCGCACCTGGGCACCGAGAACCCACTGCTGGCGCCACCTGCGCCCAGCGCCGAGCACTCTGGCCAGGGTGTGTGGCTGCTGCCGTCAGGTGAGCCTGCGCGGGGAAGGCCCTCGCCCCTTTCTCTCGAGAGGGCAGCTTCCAGACGAGGAGAACCCAGGGACGCTTGTTCTTCCTCCCCCCCTCCTCCTCTTCCTCCTCTTCCTCCCCCTCCCCCTCCCCCCTCCCCCTCCTCCTCCTTCCCCTCCCTCCTCCCTCCTCCCCCCGCCTCCTCCTCCCTCCTCCTTCCCCTCCCCCCTCCTTCCCCTCCCTCCTCCCCTTCCTCCTCCCCCCACTCCTCCTCCTCCCCCAACCCCTCCTCCTCCCCCAACCCCTCCTCCTCCCCCTCCTCCCCCTTCTCCTCACCATTCCTCTCCTCCCCCCTCCTCCCCCTCCCCCTCTTCCCCCTTCTCACCATTCCTCTCCTCCCCCCTCCTCCCCCTCCCCCTCCTCCCCCTTCTCCTCACCATTCCTCTCCTCCCCCCCTCCTCCCCCTCCCCCTCCTCCCCCTTCTCCTCACCATTCCTCTCCTCCCCCCTCCTCCCCCTCCCCCTCCTCCCCCTTCTCCTCACCATTCCTCTCCGCCCCCCCTCCTCCCCCTCCCCCTCCTCCCCCTTCTCCTCACCATTCCTCTCCTCCCCCCTCCTCCCCCTCCCCCTCCTCCCCCTTCTCACCATTCCTCTCCTCCCCCCTCCTCCCCCTCCCCCTCCTCTCCCTTCTCCTCACCATTCCTCTCCTCCCCCCCTCCTCCCCCTCCCCCTCCTCCCCCTCTCCTCACCATTCCTCTCCTCCCCCCCTCCTCCCCCTCCCCCTCCTCCCCCTTCTCCTCACCATTCCTCTCCTCCCCTCCTCCTCCCCCTCCCCCTCCTCCTCCATGCTTATTCATAACCTTGCCGAGCTCAGCGGGTCCCATGGCATTGGATGCCCGGGGGCAGGTGGGTGGCCGGTCTGAGCCCCAGAAGCAGAGGTCGGGTCCTGCCGCTCACGGTGCCTCCCCTCAGCGCTGGCAGGTGTCTGTTCGCTGCTCCAGCCGTGATGCCGTCTCGGCGTGTCCTGCTGGGTGGCAGGCCCTCCTGTCTCAGGGAGGAGCAGGCCGTGCCGATACCGCACCACAACCGATCGCACCGGGGCAGCTGCAGGGACGGGACAGATGTGGCCTCGGCACCTCTGACTCTTCTCCATGTCCCCATGCAGCTCCGCCGACGCTCCCCGAGGGCCTGCCCGCCGTCCCTGCCGGGGTGCCCATGTTCCCCGTGCCGCCCCCGGGCCCTGGGGAGCCAGCGCCTGGCTTTGCAGAGCCCTCTGGGCCGGACCCCGCGGCCCGGTACGCAGGGCCTGGCCTGCCACCCAGCGCACCGTCTCTGCAGGAGAGCGCACACCTGCTCCGGGCCCAGGACCCAGGTGGGTCTGCGAGGTGTCGCCACGGAGCAGAGCTGAATGGGCCTCCTGTCCCAGGAGCGGGGCCGGGGAGGAGCCTGCAGTCAGGGCACTCAGGCCTGGTGCTCACGGGGCATGGAGAGGGCTCGGCCTTCGCATGCTCCCTTCCGTGCCGGCTCCCTCTGTCCTGTGCCTGGCGGCTCCGAGGTCACAGAGGCCCTCTCTGCCATTGACAGGAGCGCTGCCCCAGGACCCCCGCGGGAGAGGCTCGCTGGCGGAGCGAAGAGAAGAGGATCTGGGTGGCAAATCTGAGGATGTGGTACTGGCTCCTCCCCCTCCCTGTGGACGAGGGCGGGGTCCTGGGGCTCCCGTTGCCAGCGGGCAGATAGTGCTGACATAGGAGACGGCCTTCCGAGTGCTTCCTGAGGAGAGGCCCTGGGAGGAAACACGCGGGAGGGGAATGTACTGGCGCGGGCGCCGCTGCCTGACGGAGGAGCAGCGCTGGCGGCCGCTGTTACTGCACCGCACCTCTTCTAGGGCCCCTCTGGCCCCCGGCCCTGCACCTGCTCTGCACGGGGCCCTGCAGTCCCCCCGGGCTCCTGGGAACAGACTCATCTTATCAGACCTGTTTGGTGTAAATACCACCTGTTTACTCTGATGCCCAGCGGGCGGGACAGATGCTGTCTACAGCCACTTTCTGGAACCTTCTCTAGGGTGCCCAGCTCAGCATGGACACCGTCAGCAGGCGATCGCTGTCGTTGAAACTGCACTGTGTGTTCTGCCATTAAGACGTTCTGTCCTGGAAAAGTAAAAATGAGAGTTAACTATTGAAAACAGACTCTGACCAGGGACATTTTTCATTAAAACGCCCACGGCTCCCTGACCAGTCTTTACGCTTGGGGCACATGGAGTCCGTTCCTTCCAGCCCAGAGCCCGCCTTCTGGTCCCCGTGATGCCCCTTGCTGAGCCGCTTGTTCTGTGGGCTGGCTCTCAGGTTGGCCCAGGGCTCCAGGGCTGCCCTGTCCCACCTCCCCTCTCCTCTCCTCTCCTCGTTCTCGCTTTCCGGCCTCTCAGGGATGTTCTGGGGCTCCTGGGCGGTGCCCCAGGTGAACCGGTTCCCGCGTTGCCTTGGACAGGGCTCCCCGAGGATGCCGCAGGACTCCGAGGCCCCCCCAGCGTGGGGGGGTGCCAGCCTGGGGGCCCTGCAGCCTCCGTCTCGGACGCCCGCTCCCGCAGGGAAGAGCCCGGTGCCAGCAGCCAAGAAAGAGCCCAAGGAGCCTAAGAAGGTAACGCGGCCGCCTCCAGCGGGGCCGGCTCGGCTCCCACGGCGCCGGGCACCCGGAGGCCAGGCCAGGCGGTCGCTTCTTCTCTAGTTAATGACGCCAGACGCGTTTTCAGAGGAGCCACAGAGTGAGGGGCACAGTGGTGGGCGTCTGTCTGTGCCCACGTGTCACACCGCCCAGCTCAGAGCGAGGGCCGTTCCTGCTCCCAGAGGCCCTGCGTGTCCAGGACTGTCCCCTCCCGCCCGGGGCGGCCTCTCTGCCTCTGTCTCACTGAGGAGTTCGGCCTTTGTTGCGTTTCGCCTGAAGGAGGCCCGTCCCCCGAGTGGGGCGATCCGTGTGGCTGCCACCGTCCTACTGCCCTTCCTCCTGACGGGCGCTGGGTTTCTCCCCACCGGGCACACCCGGCTCTGCTGGGCTGGTGGCAAGGGCGCTGTTTCTCTTGGGTGTGGCCCAGGGCACAGGCAGCCGGTCCAGCTTTGGAAGGCGCTGTAGGTGTGCAGGCCACCCTCCTGGCAGCCGCCCACAGTGGCACCACCGTCCAGGCCCTGTCCCGTGTGCAGGGCGGGCACTGGTGCTCCTGCCGGGCCTTCTGCCAGGCGGTGACACTTGCTGTGCTTGCGTTGGCGTTTCCTGGTGGGAGTGGTGCTTGTCTGTGCCTCTCCATCCTCGGCCGCGTGCGCTGTCCTTCCCCAGGCTCCCTGTGTTGTCAGGACTCGCAGGAGGTCTCCCCACGTGTGGACACAAGTCCGTGTGCTCCTGGCCGCGGGTCCTCAGAGCGGGTCACACAGGCTTGTCCTGTGTCGTTTCGCTCGGCCGCGCCCTCACGTGCTTGTCCTGGTTTGGTTCAGAATGCCGAGTCCTGGTTCTCGCGCTGGCTGTCTGGGAAGAAGAGGACGGAAGCGTACTTGCCAGACGACAAGAACAAGTCGGTGGGTGTCGCCCGAGGGGCCCCCGAGGGTTCGGTGGGTGTCGCGGTGGCGTGTCCGGCAGCGTTGTTGGCGCTGTATTTCAGCTTCAGAACGACACACATACATGTCCCTCCAGTCTGGGTCACAAAGGAGCCAGGCTAGCCCAGCGGTCGGCAAACTGCAGCCCCTTGAGTGTGGCTCTTCCATAAAATACCACGTGCGGGCGCGCACGTACAGTGCGATTGAAACTTCGCGGCCACACTCAAGGGCCCAAGAGCCACGTGTGGCTCGCGACCGCAGTTTGCCGACCACTGGGCTAGCCGCTCCGCTCGGCCCGCTGACCTTGTTCTTTGCTTTTCGCAATCGCGGCAGATCGTCTGGGACGAGAAGAAGAACCGATGGGTGGACACCAATGAGCCGGAGGAGGAGGTTCGCGGGGGGCGGGGGGCTCGTTGTGCCCGGAGGAGCCCTGCCTCCGAGGCTCTGTCTGTGGCGCGTCCGGGCCTTTGGGCTCGTGAGCAGGTTTCTGAAGCCACTGTCCCTCCGCAGAAGAAGGCTCCGCCCCCACCCCCAGTGTCGCTCCCCAAGGCTCCGCAAGCTGCCGCCCCTGGGCCTGGCGGGCCCCCCAGAGCCTCTGTGAACATGTTTTCTAGAAAAGCAGGTAACAGTCAGGCCAGAAGTGGGCGCTGGTTTGGATAACCTGTGTGTCCTGCAGCTGTGCCGGGGACTGGGTCCTGAGTGGGACTGCAGGGGGTGCCCGCCACCCCCTGTGGGCGAGGGGTGCAGAGCAGGGTGGAGGGGGGGGCCCCGCCTGGGGCTGGTGCCAGCAGAGGCGCGCCGCGGGGGGCCGTCCCGCAGCCGCTGGGTGGGACGGGAGAGGTTCCTGCGGCTCCTCCTCTGCCGCGGGAGGAGGTCGCGGGAGCGGATGGTGGCACACCGCTGACTGCCGCCTCCCGCCATAGCCGGGAGCCGAGCGCGCTATGTGGACATCCTCAACCCGGGCGGGCCCCAGCGCACCGAGCCGGCGCTGGCTCCCGCGGACCTCTTTGCTCCACTTGCCCCGCTCCCGATCCCGGCGCAGCTGTTCGGACCAAACCCAGGTAGGCAGTGCGGGCGGCACGTCTGCGGTAGCCCGTGCCTACCCTGACTCCCCGAGAGCCGCTGGCCTTCCTCTCCCCGGAGAGGAGTGCCGCAGGGTGCAGAGGGCCTCATCCCCTCCCTCCTCCTCATGTGCCCTCCTCCTCGCGTGCCCTCCCTCCTCGAGTACATGCGTGCAGGTAGGTGGACACGGCCGGCTGCTGGGATGTGTCAGCCCTTCCCTGCTGTCTCCTGCACAGACGCAGAGGGAGCCCCACCTGCAGAAGTGTCTGGCAGGGAAGGGCAGGCGCTAGCTGGGGGTCCAGCCCTTCCAGAACCTTCCTCGGAACCCCAGGTGAGCGGGCGCAGTGGGACAGGACAGGCCCCGTGGGGGTTTGCCTCCTCCCCGGCCGGGAGCAGCTCTTGATCGTCTGTGGGCGTCCCCGGGACACCGCTTCTGTGCGCGGGCGACCGTCCAGTGGGGGCTCACACTGTCACCACGCGTGGGACGTGCTGGTGTCTCATTGAGGTCCCGGCAGGAAAGGTGTTTCCTGTGGAGGACTTGATGGGAAGGAGAGCGGTTCAGAGTGTGGGCTCTGAAGTTGGAGCAGCTGGTTCAGCCCTGGTCCCCGCTAGTCAGTGTGTGAGATGTGGGAGTCACTTTTCCAGGCTCGGTTTCCTTCTCAGAAATGGGATACAAATCACACCAGGTCACAGGCACACAGTGGGACGCGGGACGGTGATGTCCGGTGCACCTCAGTGGGTTCTTTGCTTCACTTCTCCGAGGAGTCCTCCGTGGAGCAGGGCAGTCTGTAGCCTGGACCCAAGGAAGGCGCCATGTCACCTGCCCCTGCGGGAGGCTCGCTCACTGACCTTGGTAGTTGCTGCATTTCGTGTCCTTCCCAGCAGGTTGTGAGCCCGGCAAACTCGCTCCCTGCTTCTGAACTGGCCCCCTGCCCAATGGATGGTCCCCAGGGGGGAGAGGTAAGGGCGCCCCAGAGTCTCTTCCTGTGAAAATAAGTGTTAATGGGCAGAACAGGCAGTTTAAACGCTTTCACAACTTGAAGAGTTGCTGTATCTTAAGTGCAATCGCACTGTTGTGAGCAGAGTCCCTGGGAGGGGTCTGAGGTCACAACCCAAGCTCTGCCCGCAGCTTGGCACGCCGATTGCTGCATTCCTCGGGGTCCGGGGGTCGGCGGCTCTGGCGGAGACCCGGACAGACCCCCCACTAATGCGTCTTAACCAGACCTGGGTGTTAAAACGGGCCTGCGAGGCTCCCCCGCCTCTTCCCACTGGAGCTCTCGTGGCTTGTAAAGCTCTGGACTTGCTCCCCGGCTTGGAGCGCGGCGCATTTGACTGTCTGTTCTCGCTGTTTTGTAGCTTTCGCGCTGTAGCTCAATGAGCTCACTGTCCCGTGAAGTGAGCCAGCACTTCCACCAGGTACCCGTGGCTGGCGGTTCTCACTGAACACAGGGCTCTACTGGGTCACCTTCGTGTTCCTTCAGGGCGCGGTGCTGGTGGCTCACTAACGTCACCCAGGTGTCACTCAGCCACCACATGACTGGGATGCAGGGTTCCTTTCTTCCAGCGTCTCGGCGAGTGTCCATGTGCAGATGCACTGACCATTGAGTGGACCCCAACGTGCCAGGGGTGGGGGATTGTAACTGCACTCCCTGAATTGGCCTTTTCCAAATCATTGGCCTTGGGCGTGGCCTTGGGCTGTGGGCGTGGCCTTGTGGTGTGGGCGTGGCCTCGCTCTGTGAGCGGGTCAGTAGCTGCCAGGGTCGGTGCTCATCTGAAAGGAAGAATTCTTCTTCTGCTCAAGCACAAGCAGGTTCACGCTCAGCCGGGCGAGTGCAGCGCGACAGCTGTCCTGTGGCCGCGCTGGGAAGGGAAGGAAAGGAATGCTGCGTCTTCCGTGTCGCGCGGAGCCAGGCTTGCCCGTGACTGGTCGGAAGGCGTCACGTGGCTGTTAGTTTGCGTGTCACCACCCTGGTTCCGCGCTGGACACTAATGGCAGTCACTGCCGTGCCTGCTGGCTGCTCACCGCACTAACGCTGCGCACGCCTGGTTACCCGGTCGCGAGTTCTGCATGCTGCTTTGCGGCTCACCCAGAATAGTGTCTGTGCTTGTGGCTGTGACATCGTCTGTTGAGCTGCGCTCTCTGTGGTTCTCAGGCTCCCAGTGACCACCCCCCGGCAGAGGCGCCCCCCGGGGCATCTGTGACCTTCTACAACCCTGCGCAGTTCGCACAGGTAAGCTGCGCGGTCTCCTGGGCGGGAGTGGGAGGCCCAGCGCCGGTTCGCCCCGGCCTCGGGTCCTGCCGCTCCTGCTCCTGCTGCTGTGCCCACGGCGGTTCCCTGGCTGCGCCAGCCGTGCTGTGCCACCTGGTGTCCACGTCCTTCCGTCAGGGTGTTCTTTTTTAAAAATATATATATACTAGAGGCCCGGTGCACAAAAATTTGTGCACGGGGGTGGGGGGGGGTGGGGGGTGGCGGGGGGGGGTTCCTCAGCCCGGCCTGTGCCCTCTCGCAGTCTGGGACCCCTCGAGAGATAACGACCTGCTGGCTTAGGCTTGCTCCCGGGTGGCAGAGGGCGGGCCCAATCCCTAGGTGCAGCCCCTGGTCGGGCTCAGAGCAGGGCCGATTGGGGAGTTGGGGCGCCACCCCCTGTCATGCACAGAGCAGGGCGGATCGGGAGGTTGCAATGCCACCCTCAGTCACGCTCAGGGTAGGGCCAATTGGGGGGTTGGGGCACCGCCCCCAGTCACACTCAAGGCAGGGTCGATGGGGAGGTTGCGGCGCCACCCCGTCACGCACAGAGCAGGGCCCATCAGGGGGTTGGGGCGCTGCCCCCTGTCATGCACAGAGCAGGGCCCATCAGGGGGGTTGAGGCTCCGTACCCTGTCACGCACAGAGCAGGGCCCATCAGGGGGTTGGGGAGCTCCCCCCTGTCACGCACAGAGCAGGGCGGATCAGGGGGTTGGGGCGCCGCCCTCTATCACCCACAGAGCAGGGCCGATCAGGGGGTTGGGGCGCCTCCAGTCACACTCAGGGCAGGGCCGATGGGGAGGTTATGGCTCTACCCCATCACACACAGAGCAGGGCCCGTGGGTGGCGGTTGGGGTGCCACACCCTGTCACACACAGAGCAGGGCCGATCAGGGGGTTGGGGTGCCGCACCCTGTCACACACAGAGCTGCAGGGCAATCAGGGGGTTGGGGAGCTCCCCCCTATCAGGCACAGAGCAGGGCTGATCAGGGGGTTGGGGCGCCGCCCCCTGTCACACAGAGAGCCGCAGGGCGATCCGTGGGTTTGGGCACTGCCCCCTGTCACACTGATCCCAGTGCTGGGAGGCCTCGCGGCTCCGCTGATCCCAGTGCTGGGAGGCATATTACCCTTTCACTATATAGGATAGAGGCCTGGTGCACGGGTGGGGGCCGGCTGGTTTGCCCTGAAGGGTGTCCTGGATCAGGGTGGGGGTCCCCACTGGGGTGCCTGGCCAGTCTGGGTGAGGGGCTGAGGGCTGTTTTCAGGCTGGGACTGAAGCTCCCAACTGCTCCTTTTTTTTTTTTTTTTTTTTAGTTTTTTTTTTTTTTTTAAATATATTTTATTGATTTTTTACAGAGAGGAAGGGAGAGAGATAGAGAGTTAGAAACATCGATGAGAGAGAAACATCGATCAGCTGCCTCCTGCACATCTCCCACTGGGGATATGCCTGCAACCCAGGTACATGCCCTTGACCGGAATCGAACCAGGGGCCCTTCAGTCCGCAGACCGACGCTCTATCCACTGAGCCAAACCGGTTTCGGCCCAACTGCTCCTTTTTTTTTTTTTTTTTAATTCTGGGTCAGCTTTAGCTCTGGCTCCAGCTCTGAGGCCTCTGCTGCTGAAAGCAGGTATCTGGTTTGTTTGGGTTCTACAATCAAAACATTGTATCAACTCCACCTCTGAGATCCCGGCGGGCTGAAAGCAGGTTTCTGGGGTTTTGTTTAGCTTCTATATTTGTAACTATGTTTCAAACTGCAAGCTCAGAGGCCGGCAGCGGCAGGCGGGGAACATTGGAGTCCTCCATCACTGAAGCAAGCAAGCCTCATGTTAACCTCAAGCTGCCTGGCTGCTGGCCGCCATCTTGGCTGGCAGCTAATTTGCATACCTCGCTGATTAACCAATGGGAAGGGTAGCAGTCGTACCATGTTTCTCTTTTATTAGATAGGATTGATTTCAGAGAGGAAGGGTGTTCCTGACTGCTCCTCCCACTCCCCTCCCTCCCAGGCTCTTGCCTCTACAGCACAGACTGGCTGCCGGGTCAGGGGAGCCGGGGGACAGGCATCTGAGAATGGAAACCCCATCTGCGCCCTGGGGCACACCCTGCCTAACTGCCTGGTGTGCCCGCCGCCCGGTGTGCCCAGCCTCCTCACTCGGAGGCACCCTGCTGCCCTCTGCGCTGGGCAGCTGCCCAGGAGGCCCTTTCTTGGCCTCTGTTCCCCTCCCCCTCCCAGGGCCAAGGCCTGTTCCCGCCTGGGACCCATCTGTTTTCCACTTCAGGATGGGGTGGTGGGTCTCCCTCCCAGAGCTCGATCTTGCAGCTCAGCCTCCACAGGAGCCCTCAGCCTGCACGTCAGTCTGGTTTGCGAGGGAGCAAGTCGGTACCTGTCTTTCTCCTCAGATGCTCAGCCCTTGGGATTGGCTCCCTCTGAGCCCCTAACAAACGGCTGCACCTTTAAAGGGACCCCAGGACCTTACCCTGATGTTGCCCGTGGTCGTGGCTGCAAAAACGGGCCAGAGCAACCTGTCCTTAGGGCGTCGGGTGTGCTGGCCTGTCACCCAGGCCCACGTCACAGCACCCTGAGCCCTCGCGAGGGGCACCCACCTCGGGGGCGGGCGGAGTCAGTGCTGTCCATGTTGTTTCAGGCCTCGGCCACCTCGGGAAGCGCCAGGCCTGGGAGGATTGGCCAGAGGAAGTACCCAGTGCTGAGGTAGATGGCCCTGCTCCGTCAGCACTGGGACCTGAGATTGCTCTCCACCGACACTCGGCTGACCGCCCGGCCTCCCTCCTGTGCCCGATGGACACGCAGTAGAGCCACGTGCTCGCACCCTGTGAGGAAGAGCTGCCAGGTACCCACAGCTCCCAGATCCGAGGACAGGAGAGACTTCGGCTCCCCTTCTACCTAAGAATGAGTTCAGGATAAGCCTTTGTAGTCATGTTAGGAATGTGGTGCTGAGCGCAGCCGGACGCCCTTTGCTGCTGGGGAGCTGAGCTGCAGGGACTCATGATGGCGAGTGGCTGCCAGGTTCGTCCCCAGTTCCTCTAAGACGCTGGAGGGAAGAGCAGGCCTCACTGAGTGCCCCCGACGCCTGCTCTGTGGCCACTGGGCCAGCTCCCGCCCCGGCGTCCGCAGCCCCGACAGCAGGCGCTGGCGGGTGTGTTCACCAGCCTCGGAGGGAAGGCGGCGGCAGCCTGGCAGCCGAGCCTCAGGCGGAGACGCTGTGGTCAGGGTGGTGCGCTCCTCCCGCAGCAAAGGCGTGTCTGTGGCCCAGCAGGACCACGAGGGTCCCTGCCGCCAGGGGCCTGGCTTTGTCCGCCCGCGAGGGAGGAAGAGCCACGGCACAGCCTGGGTTCCGTGTGACTGGTCCTCGCCGATCAGCCGGTGTGGAAGCCGTACCTGGACTCACCCGTTGGGCTCAGCGAGCAGCCTGGCTGGGCTCCGGCAGAGCAGCTGTGTGGCTGCCAGCTCTGCGCCACCCAGCGACGTGCCCTCACCTGGCTGGCACTGTCGGCGACATCTTGACGAAAATGGCTTAAAATACCTTCTTGACAGAAGCTCCTGAAGCTGATCTCTCTGCCCTGGTTTCCCCACACCGAGCCCGGCAGGGCTCACCTGCTGCTCACCGGACTCCCTCCAGCTCTACCTTCACGCCGGTTCTCAGACCATTCACCTTCTTGTTAAGCCTGAAGGGCTGAGGGCAGGTGGAGATATTTATAAAATCACTAGGAACTAATTCTGTAGTTCTGCCTGGTATTTTAAATCTCAGCGGAGGGTCATGGGAATGTGGCCTCGGCACAGGTCCTCCCGCTTTCCGGGTCACGTGACCGTCTGGGGCGCCCACAGGTGTGATGGGACCCATGTTCTCTCGCTGGGAAAGGCCCGGCCTCGCTAGGGTCCCGCTGTCCCTGTCCAGGGGTGGGATTCCTGGGGCCTGAGACCTGCTGCCCTCGGCTTCTCCAGCCCTTGTTCTGTTAGTGACTTGATTCAAGAAGCTTCCCTGGAGGGGCTATTTTTCCTAAATGCAAATTGTTACACTGCAAATTGTTAAATAAAGTATTTTGCGCTCGGCGCGCGCACCTGCCTGCTTAGCTGATTGGAGTCAGTGAGCCCCAGCCCGGCGGCCTGTTCGGCTGCTGCTGGGTGCCTGCAGGGCCATGTTGCAGGGGCGCCTCCCCGGCGTGTGGCGGTGACTGCGGCCCGCGGGCCGGTTCCAGGCTTGGGCGTCAGGGGCCGCTCTGGGCGGTGGGTAGGTTCTCTGACCCCGTGCGCCACCAGGGGAGCGTGGCGGCCTGCGAAGGGGTGCAGGGCCCCCCCAGCCCCCAACCCCCTCCGGCCGGGAGGGAGGGAAGCCGCGCGTGGGGCGGTCCTCCGGCCGCCAGGGGCGCTGCAGGCGCCTGTTCGGGGCGCTCTGCCCGCGGGTTGCGGCGAGCGGCTGCCGAGGCCGTGGGGCTGGGAGCGGGCGGCGGCGGCGGGAGGTAGGGACGCGGGGTCCTGGGCGCCGGGTGACCGGGCGGGGGTTCTGGGCGGGTTCGGAGCTCAGGGTCCCCAGGGCGGCTCAAGGGTCCGGGGTGCGGCGACCTCGGGGCGCGAGGTGGCCCGCGGGCGGGGTCCTGCGCGGAGTGGCCGCGGCGCGTGTCCCGCCCCCAGCGCCGCGCTCGTTGCCGCGGAGCCGCTGGGGTCGCGGCTGAGTCGGGGCCTTTGGCGGCGGCGCCGGCGGAGCCGCCGGGGTCGCGGGCGCTCGGGGCGGGGCCGGGGCCGGCGGGCCCTTCCCCCGGCCGCGCGGTGGCCCGGCCTGGGCCCGGGACGGGGGTGCTCTCCCGGGCGATGCCCCCCGAGCCCCGTGAGGAGCAGCCCCGCCGGGCCGCCGCGTCCGTCCCAGGGGGTAGCACCTCCACCGCCCCGCCCGCCGCCGAGCTCCGGGCCCCGCCTCGAGCGGTGACGGCGGTTTTCCCTTAGGCCCCGGGGGCCGCGATCCGGGCTCCAGCCATGCCGCCGCCGGCCCCGCGCCTGCCGGGCCGCCCCGCGCCTGACCGGGAGCCCCTGCGGGTCCTCGCCGAGCCGCACCCAGGACCTCGGACCGCGCATCCCTGACACGGCGCCGCCGGCGGCCCCGGAGAGTGTGTTCCGGTCGGCTTGGCCGCCATCGAGGGTGAGGGCTGCCGGACTATGCCCTCCAAGTCGGCCTGCCCCGGGCGCTCCGAGGCGGACCCCCTGCAGCCTGAAGGCAGGATGCCCAAGGGGCACCTGGTGGACACGGACAGGGACCTGGCCCCCGGCCCAGGCCCAGGATCCCCGGGTGCCGACTGTCCCGGCCCCGAGAAGGCCCCAGGGGTCCCCCTGGACATTCCAGCAAAAATCAGCCACGAAGACCCCCAGGCGAAGGCCAAGCCCTTCGCCCCGAAGCCACCCATGAGGCCCCGGCTGGAGCGGGCGCTGTCCCTGGATGAGAAGGGCTGGAGGCGGCGGCGATTTCCAAACAGTCAGGAGGACCTGGCCTCCCGAGATGGGGCCAGCCCCTCCAGGGGCTCCTCACCTAACGCGGTCCCCGGGCCTCCCGCCCGCCCCTGCCTCCCGCCCGGCCTGAGCACCTCCTTGCAGGAGATCCCCGCGTCCCACAGGACTCCAGGTACCGGCGACAGGGGCCCCTCCTCCTGGGGTAACTCCCAGGACCTCCTGCAGCAGGACAGGGCCTCGGCCGGGAGCAGCCCCCGCCTGGCCGGCGGGCTTCCCTCACGCCCACTGCCCGCCATGGAGTGGAGCGTGGCCTCTGACTCCCTGCGGACGGCACACAAGGTAGACGCAGACCACGCCGACTACAAGCTCCGCGTGCAGACCAGGCTGTTGCGGGCCCACAGCAGCCTGGGCCCCGGCCGGCCCCCCAGCCCCCTGGCCTCCGACGACTGTTCCCTGCGCTCGGCCAAGTCCTCCTTCAGCCTCCTAGCGCCCATCCGAGCCAAGGACGTCCGCAGCAGGTAGGGCCCCGGGGTGGGGGGTGGGGGGTGGGGCTCGGCTTCTGTGGCCTTTATTTTAGGGTCAGAGGACTGAGTGCTTCTTGGAATGTGTCCAGCGCATAAAGGTGGAGACCGACCGGGTCTCCCAGGCGACCCTGCCCAGGCTGGTGGAGGGAGGGCAGAGGCGGCCGGCTTGCTGCTGGGCTCCAGCAGGGCCGTGGCGTCTCCGGTGTCTGGGACCCAGCGTGCTGAGCGCCCGCTCCTGGGGCAGGACTGGCGCCACGGGCTCGGGGCTTTAATGTTGAACCCACGTCGGCATTTCTACGGCCTGAAAAGAACATGAGTGCCGTCCCCACGGCTTCCCTTCTGCTCACGGCGCCCCAACGCGGGCTTCTTTCTGGCTCCCCTCTCCCGGCCGGAGCTGTGAGTCCCCAGCTGGGGCTCCTGAGCCGGAGCTTCTCCTGGGAGCTGGCCTGGGGGTCACTCCACCCCGCGCCCCGTCCCCGCAGGCCTGTCTCCTGCGCCTCCCCACACGGGCTCCGGCCTCCTCGGCTCCCGTCCTGACCAGGGCTGGGCGGGTTGTTTGAAGCACAGTCCGGCCTGGCCCTGACTCGGGGCGCCCGAGGGGCCTCTGCTCGGACCGAGTGCAGTCTGTCCTGTCCTTGCAGGAGCTACCTGGAGGGGAGCCTGCTGGCGAGCGGGGCCCTGATGGGGGCGGAGGAGCTGGCCCGGTACTTCCCCGACCGCACCCTGGCCCTCTTCGTGGCCACGTGGAACATGCAGGGCCAGAAGGTGAGCGGGCGCCCACACGTCTTGGGATGCGGCCGGGGTTCCTGCCTGTTCCTTCTGGCCTGAGCCTCACCCAGGACACCTGCCGGTGGCCGCCCGCCCCCCCGCCCCTCCCCTTCAGTGACTGGGCAGCCCCTCTCGTTAGAGCGGTTTCAGGCGGACAGCACAGTGGAGAGGAAGGCCAGCCGCTCCCTGAGGCCTCCCCTAGCAGCCTCTCCCGCCCCACGTTGAACCGCTGGCTCAGGTCACCCAGGGCCCCGAGTCTACCTCGGGGTCACTCCTGTTCGCTCCACGGGGCCTGGCGAATGTGGAGGAGGAGGCAGGTGCCCAGCTGGTGGCCCCGCTGTCCTCAGGGCGCCACCCTCCCGTCCACAGGGTGTCCCTGTCTCGTCCTGGGCCTGCGGGACTCACAGGGCTAAAGCCAGGTGGCCGTGCGGCCGCAGGGTGGAGTGACCCGCTGCACCCAGGCCCGGTGTGCACGTGGGGGCACACACTTCGGGTCACGCTCAGGCCCTGGTGTGCATGTGGGGGGGACACACTTAGGTCAGGCTCAGGGCCAGACGCAGCTGAGCAGCAGCTGGGGGCACAGCCTGGGGGCGGGTGCAGACCGGGCCTTGGCGATGACAGGCTGGCGGGGGAGTCGGTCCCGGGCAGAGCAGGAGCCCCGGGAGCCGGCTCCTCGGCCCCTCGCTAGGCGCTGCCTCCCCTCAGGAGCTGCCTGCGAACCTGGACGAGCTCCTGCTGCCCGCTGAGGCTGACTACGCCCAGGACCTGTATGTGGTCGGGGTGCAGGAGGGCTGCTCCGACAGGTAGGCCCCGCCCGTGTGCCCCTGAGCCTGGTCCCCCCTCCCCCACCCCTCACCCCCGTCCCTATGCACAGCGCTGCTGAGGTGGCCTTCGGGGCAGAGGCTGCTGTGACCTGAGACCCCAGCACCAAGCTGAGCACACAGGCCGCCTCCTAACACGGGCTCAGACCTGAACTAAACGGGTTTCCTTCCGCTGAGCGCCGGCTGCTCTGAGGCTGTGGGTGCAGCGGGAGCAGCTCGGCCCCCAGGCCCCCGAGGGGTGTCGCTGGCCGCCCTGGGGCCCGGGGCTGCACCCCCCCCAGATTCTGCCTGCCGTGCACCCTCACACTGTGGAGGGTCCCCGGGAGGAGGTGCCGTGGCCTCCCTCCCGCCGGCCTGGCCTTCTCCCGGGCCCGCCGGGTGGGCCTGGAACTCTGCTCAAGTCTTAGCAGCGCTGGGACCCGGCCCACATCCCTGGAGCCTTGAGAGGCAGCGGGGTGACAGCTCCGCGATGTCCGGGGAGCCCCAGTCTCTGGCCCAGCAAACGCCTTGTGCTGCTCATGTCCCCCCTATTCTTGCAAAACAAGGCGGCCAGACCGCGGGGCCCCTCTGGCCCCTCCTCCAGCGCCCTGGGGTGTAGAGCCAGGAGCCTGGTCCGCTGCCCAGGGCGCCGCTGTCCCCCCAGGCGGGAGTGGGAGACGCGCCTGCAGGAGACGCTGGGCCCGCACTACGTGATGCTGCACTCGGTGGCCCACGGGGCGCTGCACCTGTCCGTGCTCATCCGCAGGGACCTCATCTGGTTCTGCTCAGGTAGCGCCCGCCCCGCTGCCGGCCCTGCCCTCGCCCATCGGGGACACACTCCGCGGGTCGCGGGCCCTCGGGCTGCGGCGGCCGTCAGCTCCACTCCCTCCCACAGAGGTGGAGAGCTCCACCGTGACCACACGCATCGTGTCCCAGATCAAGACCAAGGGGGCCCTGGGTGTCGGCTTCACCTTCTTCGGCACCTCCTTCCTCTTCATCACGTCCCACTTCACCTGTGAGTCACCTGCCCCGACCCCAGGCTTCGTGTGGGGACACTGAATGCCCGACCGGGAGGCGGGGTGCGGGGTGCCGGGTGCCTCTGCGGCCGCCCTGACCTGCAGCCCCGACCGAGAGGCCCTGGCGGTGCCACCTCCTGCGGGGGGTTCACTGCGGGCCCTGCTGCTGCGGCGTCTCCACCCTCACTGACCCATGTCCAGCCCTGAGCCAACCCTGCCCTCGGGGCTCCCCCTCCCCCCCCATCCCTGCAGCCGGAGACGGGAAGGTCAGCGAGAGGCTGCTGGACTACAGCAAGACCATCCAGGGCCTCGCGCTGCCCAAGAACGTGCCGGACACCTGTCCCTACCGCTCGGACGCAGGTGAGCGGGCCCCACGGTGCTCACGGTGCTCCCTGCCCGGCAGGCGCCTCTGCCCTGTGCTCTGGGGAGTTGATGGAGGCAGATGGGGGCAGGGGACACGGACCAATCCCGTCACAGCGGCTCGCGCGTGGGGAAGGCTGGGCTCATGCGCTTTCTGGC